ATCTATTCCGGATGTTCTAACCCACCGGCTGATCACGGCTAAACTCACGATTAGAAAATCCTGGAGCCGGCAATCAATCCTTTCTTATCCCGTGTTTACCGTCCAGCGTGTACGCCTATTACATAAATTTACTTCCTCGATCTAGGATAAGATATTTCAAATTTTTTTAACGCTAGTCATCAAAAGTTGTTGGATCGATTGTTCAAAATGATGAAATTATACTGGAATATTGTCGACAATTTCTTAAAAAATAAAAAAATATATATATGTATATATACAGACGAAATATTTTTGATTATCTTCAAATTTTCAATGTTTTCTCCTTCTCAATTCCCATTCGCTTTGCAATAAAATTTAAAATTTATGTTAAAATCTGCCTTAATATTGAAATATCGGCAGGCGATAAAACGGCAGTCAAATTGAGAGCTCCATTTCGGACTTTTGTTTGCTTTTACGAGGCGTGCTGTCTTTTGTTGGCCGAGTGGGTCACGTTTACAACCCGAGGATAATGATTTACTGTTATTGTTTCTTCTCGGTTTTTTTTTTTTATTGTTGTTGGGATCCAACTAGGAGATAAGCGACGGGCGCGTGCCTCGTACCCCGGTTACCTACGAAGGTCGTTGATAAAACAATTAATTCACGAGAAGTGCGTAAAAGCAAAGCCGCACCTTTAACATTGGATTGTTATAGGTCATAGGATTTTAAAAAAAAATGTTAATGCACATTTCGCTTTGCTTGAATTATCCGCTTTCCAAAACCAACATCCGATTCGCGTTCTAAGGAATGATACTTATTCTCAAATTGGCCTTTGAACATCATTGCACTTTTTTGAGCTTAATTGCTGGAATTTGCCTTAATTGAAGCAATTTCACTCTATTTCAAATTTCTTTATGGCGCTTTCAAGAGCCTCCTGTAATCGCTAGATATAATTTATTACTTATTTTGTAATATAATTCATTTTTTATGTGTAAAACAAAATTTAAATAAAGTCGAGTAAGTACAATTTTTACGGATTTTAGGACCCTTTTTATTTAAATTTTAATTTCACACTTGCGTAAAATATATATTTTTTTAAATTGTTACTAATTTGCTATAAAGTTTTGAGGAGCTTTGAAATGCACAAAAATTCGACCACTAGTAATAGGCCATTTCTTTTCATAAGAATATTAAATGCATTTTTATAAAAAGAAAAAAATTGGTTTTTTCCGTCAAACTATCACTTTTTTAAATTAATTAATTAATTTTTTAAATTTTTTTACGAGGGTTCGCAACAGCAGAGATCAATCCTCGAGGTTTCGGTGTTTTTGAAAAAAAGCCCATTTGTCTGGTTAGAATGCAGGGCCGCTGGATTCGAACTCGGGACCTTTACCTTACAGTGATGAGCGCCGTGTCAACGCCTAAACCGTTGCGGTCACCGACGCTCCATCGATTTTTCTTTTATTAGCCTACAACCGCATTCTTTATATATATTTTCTATCAATTCTAGATCTTTCTTTTTCAAAAAATTATTTTTTATTTGTAATCTGATTTCGGTGAATTCCGCCTCCCCTCGTCGGCCTTATAAAGTTATAATATTCCACAAATAAACCAAGGTGAGTGCTCGAAAGAATGCATATATTAATAATATATTGTATATAAAATTAGAAAAAAAAACAATATTAAAAATGGTTTTGATGGGGTGAGTATAGGTATTATTAATCGAAAAAGATTAGTTCAACTCACAAACTCTTTTTGGTTATTCATATTTTAAGCATTTAAATCTAGATCTCTTTTCAGTCAGAATTATAAATGAACATTGTAACAACGGAACGTACACCATTTTGTAATTTTAGAAAATAAGAGAGAAAAAGAGAGGTGGAAACCACTGAAATCGATTAAAAAAAAAATGAAGAATTGAAAAAAGACGGGTCTTTTTGGCAATTTTTGGGAAAACTGTATTTGTGTTACAAACCTTAAAAAAAGGCATTAATTCGGCATATAGTTATACGTAATTATTACTTTAGTTTAATTAGAATGTGAAAAACAATTCGAAAAATGGTTTAAAAATATTTGGGGATGGTAACCATCCCTAAATCCATCTAACCATCCCCAAAAATATTAATCTTCTGTTTGGTATATTAATTTTTATTGACGTCCTTATTTATTATTTAATTTTTATACTTAAGCATTAGGACGTTAGGTAAGTATTAGGACCACCTCTTGAGACATTACAAAAATTACAAGCCATAATACTAATCGGACTTTACTCATCGGATGAAATAAATATGACAAATGTAATAAAAAAATTGTTTTCTTTGTTTAGTATTATTATTAAAAGACAGGAGTCTTGTTTTATCGGCTTTTTTTTTAAATTTCGTTATCATATCGGACTCCTAGGATGGAATTGACCGATCTGTTTTTGTTTTTACTAATAGACGCGGCGATTAAGAAAAATCAGGGAGCGATGCACTGCAAATTTCCGGAAAAATTGTTGGCAAAACACAGTCGATAAACGATTCGCGTCTATCCACGATTTAACATTTGAATGCTATCTTCTTTATAATTTCTCTTCCTACACGGGCTGTCACCATTAAAAAAAACACACGTGGACAGAATTTTCCGTTGAGGGGAAATCTCCATAAGATTATTGCAACATATCTTGGCCTGCGGATGGAATTTTTTTGTTTTAAAAGAGAACCCAAAATAAAGCCAATATTCCACACAACCACCCGTCAAGAGAAAGGAAACGTCCTATTCTGGAGACTTTAACGCCCGATCTGATAACGGTTTGCGCCACGAGACCAATTATTAAAAGCCAATAACCATTCTTATTCTCTCAACCATGCTCAAAGAGAAATTAATTTATTATTTTCCTAACGTCTACAGGTTGAAACAGGATTCTGATTTCGTCTTGACCAAATCCGTCAATTCCAATCTGGAAGAAGCAGGGAAAGTCATTACAACATTGTAGTGGATATGATGGCCACTTTCGACCTAAACAAGTATGGAGTTTATTATAACGTTATGTATGCATGAAAGAAATCAAAGAATTGGAAACTGTTAAGGTGGACTACCATGTAAGAGAGAAGTTTTCAACCGGACCCATTGATGATGATTACCTAAAATTCCTTTGTGTCCTGACTTCCAAGATTGTTTTTCCAAGTTTTGAATATATTCACTGTCTAATTTGATTGTGATTTTTTTACATGCTGTTTTAATAGCTGCTTGGCGATCCGATCCCATGAGGATCCTTTTGCCAGTGTAACCTCTTTCAAGATTTTCTAAGGCACAGCTGAAAGACCGAGGTGTACTTCCCTAATAGGTTTGATTGGTCATGTTTTCGGCTTGTATAGAAAACGCCTCACCCGGTAACTCTATTTTGTTTTGGAGCCATCTGTATACCATACCACTGCGTCTAATTTACTTCTGAATTCTTCTTTATAGGATTTTGTAAAGAGTGGTTTTGGTATCATGCAGTCAGTCCCCAACTCAATGAACGGGTGTCAGGTTTTATTAATTATTGTTGTGTGTCCGAAATGTTGATTTTCCTCTCAATTTGTGGTTTCTGGAGCCTAAATAAGATTTTCCTCGCTTTTTCTTGTATAAATATTTCTAATGGAGGTAGGTTTAGCAGTGTTTTTAATGCAATTGACAGGTTATTTCATTGCTACTGTGAAACATAGGTTTACTATTCTTTGCATCCTTCCTAAAGTTTGGGTAGTTTGTTTTTTCTTAACTTTGTCCACCAGATTAGTCAGACATAAAGTAATTGAACCCGAACCTTTACAACTGAATGAAAAAAATGACGAGAATTTTCTAAAAGTGAATTTTGATATAAAACCTTTCCCTCCTGTATTTTGGTACAATAGAGCTTCATAATTAACATCTCGATTAACTTTGTTGATTTCAATTTTCTTCGCGTTAAGGACCGATTCGTAATATTTTAACAGGTAATCATTGTTTTTATAATACAATTAAATCATGGTTCGAAAAATTGTTAATTAAATAAAGGAACGATAGTATTAATTGTTGCAAAATGGATTTTTTTATTACTTATACAGGCTTCATGTTAAGAATAATGCTGCGATGTTCATTACACTTTTCAACCAATAAAAGTATGTTCAAATTTTCAACATTGATAACTTAAGATATAAAAACAAGCGGTGTTTGACAGTTATCGAAATTTTAAATATTTAAATCCTCATCGTCAAAAAAGAGTTCTACATTTGACTGCTTAAAATCCGGGTAACTGCTACAAACAGTTTGTAAGTAGGACTTTTTTCCAACTACCGAATTGATACACTCAATCATAACCGTGTTTTTTTTAAAATTATAATATAGTTCGTTTTCTGATTTCAAGGATTTCTGTAATAATATAACGTTATAAGACTGATGAGGGGAAGGGAAATTGGCGAAATCCATTTCAAATAAAAATAAAAATTTCTTGAAAAACCTTTCGCACACGAGATCCAGCCCATAAAATAAACAACAAAAAACAACGAGATATAAAAGAATGTAGTTGTAGGATAATAATAAAATAAAAAAGCACCACCAACAGTTTTTTTTCAAATGGAAAGTAATTACCTATCACTAATGACCGGATTTTTGTGCAGTAAAAGCTCCCCCCCCCCAAAAAAAATTGTATGAAATTACCAACAATTAAAAAAAAAGTGTATTTATATTTGTGAGCCAAATTTATTCCTCTTAAAGTCGTACAATCTGCTCTATGTTAAGGCAAAAGGTTTTTCCTTTAAAAAGCTGATTTTCAGATAGAAACTATGTCTAATGACCACAAGGTTTTTACCTAACTCTATCAAGTAACAATGCTTGCTTTTTTTTCACTGTCTTTCTTTGAAAATATAATGAATAAAGAGTTATATAATAGCTGTGATGAACGCTGAGACTGTAATAATAATTTGAAAATTTTGATTTTCTTGAAATAATTGCTTTTGGGAAATGTCCTGGCGATGGGGAAGAGCGGTGATTTCAACGTGGAAAGAAAGTAAAAAGAAGATACTTACAGTATTACGACCATATCCAGTTCCAGGGGATCGTCGTGAAGGCTCACTTTGTCGACGTTGACTCGAAAAACAACCACACACTCAAGCTGAGACCAGTCTCACTCGACGTCCGAGGAGGGACTGAGCCAAGTTTTAGGGGTTGACCAAGGACAAATTTGGTCCTTCTTTTTTCCCCACTCCCGTTGGATTGGGTGTGTCGGGAGGCGGGTGATTATTTGTGTAGAAGAGCCAACCCAACCCTCACTCTTCCTGGGTTGATCCCTTCCACCTAGCAGGCCGCATCCCTTCCGCAATCCAACCCCTTCCAACTTCGCCCTCGACTGCAAAGCCCCGCCTACTAGTGAACTCTGGCGAAACCGGACGGCGTTATTCAATCGTCACGATCATTATGATCATTAGTAACTAGGGGTCTTTGCTCTATTCTGCCACAGAAACGCATATCGAAAAAGCAGTTTTCAAATGGAATGCACATCTAAACATTAACAACATTCAGCAACATACTTAAAGATAAACCCAAAAACTACACTGAAGAATTTTTACTTTTACCAAGCAGCATTTCACCAAACTGATTGACTAAGCAAAAAAATCACTGGAGCGGCACATTTGAAAAAGATCTACCCATTAAAGCATGTATTTTTTTTGACAGCGTTCTCGAAAGTTTAGACGAAACTTTAATCCTCATAAAAATTTGAATAAATATTTAGCCTTTAATTTGTTGTATGTACCTCTAATTCTTTTGTAAGAATTATTTTCCTATTGTTGCCTGTGGGATGAGGAATCTACAATCTGGTTTTTTCGGTCATTTTGGTTTGCCTGTCATCGTTGTTTTGGTCTGTAAGACACTTTTAGGCATTACGCCATCATCAGTGGTGTGTTTATGTGTTATTTTGTCAATTATGTGAACTTATTTTACCCAAATACACTATCCACAAAGAAAAAAAATTCTCGTTTTTGCAGGAAAAATGGCCAACTTTGGAAATGCATATTTTCTCAGACTTTTAAGACACAGACCTGCGCTAGGTGTCATTTTTTAGAAAATTTTACGCAGAATAAGATGGCTTTTTTTCAATGTTTTCCTAGCTTCAGTCGTTCCAAACCCCGTGTTGGAAATTGTGGACGGTGAAAATTTACATACTGAAAATAAGAAAAAATAATTGTTTTGTTTATTACAGAAAATTTCCCGCTTACTCATTTGTTTTATAATTCGCGAAAAAAATCCGCTTTTCAAATGTGATTAATCAAAAGTGTATTTTCTGTTCCACTTCATTTTAAATTTAAATTATAAAATTTCACAATACGTAGAGATATCAGTTATTATTGTAAAATAACCAACAAGATAAATATCAAAAAAATACAATTTTTTCTCGAATTTTCTTCTTTTTTTTTTGTTGCGTTTTTCATGAAAAATACGTAAAAAAACGTTCCTACGAGCCTTTTACAATATATCCAAAAAAGTCAATAACATTTTTTCGATTTTTTTTCGTTTTTAATGAAAAATACCTTAAAAAACGTGTCTACGAGCCTTTTACATCCAAAAAAGAATACATTTTTTTTCTCGTTTTTCACGAAAAATACGAACAAAAACGTGCCTACGAGCCTTTTACATCCAAAAAAGAATACATTTTTTTTCTCGTTTTTCACGAAAAATACGAACAAAAACGTGCCTACGAGCCTTTTACATCCCATAAAAGCAGTAATTTTTTTCTCGTGGTTTTTTTGTGTGTTTTTCATAGATATTGGTGATGTTTGACGTCGAAAAAAAATTAACGACTGTTTTGGAACCTGCACAAAAATGTAAGGGGTTGACATCGCAGAAAATTCTTCAGAAAATTTTGCGCTGAACAAGATGGCTTTTTTTTAGCTTTCAGTCGTTCAGCAGTAAATTCAAAAATTTGGGAATTTGGGAACATGTTAACTTTTGCACTTTTTACGAAAACTTCAAATTGAGCTGTGGAGCCAGGAAATCGTCCTTGAGCGGCGACCTATTGCAATCGATATGAAATTTTAATAAGCTTCCAATTGGGCATCTTTCACTTTGCCGGATTTCTCAACTGTTTTCGAGTTAGTCGTGATTTTTGTGCAAAAAACGTGGTTTTTTATGTGCTCATAAAAAAAACAAAAGAACAACTGATCACTCTCTTCCTCTCTCCCTATTTTAACATACCTATTATTAAGTTATTCGAAGCAAACTGCCACAACACTTATGAAATGGAAAGGAAAAATTGAATTTCCGTGATGAGGTAAATAATTGGTTATCGACAGCAGAAGCATTCCGCATCCCAAAAGGTCAAATTAAGAAAAAGTAAGATTGTCGCTTCCCTGTTAACTTTTTTAAAAAAGTCCTCAGAACAAACATTGTAGAGCGTAAAATTTTCGAAAACCTGCCGGTTCAAAATTTATACATTCATGAACATCGGGAGAGTGATCGGTTTTTCCATGAGCACGTAAAAAAACCACTTTTTTGCCGAAAAATCGCTAATAACTTGAAAACGGTTGAGAAATCGGATAGTACAAGGTGGCCAATTGAAAGCTTATTAAAATTTCCTATCGACTGCTATAGGCCGCTGGTCCAGGACGATTTCCTGGCTTCATAGCTCAATTTGAAGTTTTCGTAAAAATTGCAAAAATTAACATGCTCCCGAATTTTTGAATTTACTGCGGAACGACTGAAGGCTATGAAAACGTTTAAAAAGCCATCTTGTTCAGCGCAAAATTTTCTAAAAAATGAGGCCTAGTGAAGGTCTGCGACTTAAAAGGCTGAGAAAATATCCGTTTCTAAAGTTGACCAGTTTTCCTGCAAAATCCAGGTGGTCGGTTTTTTATGGGCAGTATTGATCATTTGCATGAAGCGTGTTTTTATACATAGGTACCAATAAATTACACTTTGTCCTTCATTTTTCTAGTCAAAAGTAACATCTTTTTCTTAGAAAAGTCCTAATTGACAAATATTTTTCTAAAAGGTTAGAAAAATATTTCAAATTTTACCTAGATTTGCTTAGTAGTCATATTTGACCATATTAATTATTACAATTAATTATTGTTTTTACCTAAGCTTTTGGTTGAGATGAAAAACACTAGATAACAATGATTAGCATGTTGTAAACAGGGTGTCTTTTTTCACGTGTGCCAGCAGGTTTTATCTATTTTTTGAACAGGCACAAAAAGTGACCAATGTCAACCCCTTACATTTTTGTGCAGATAACAAAACAGTCGTCAAATTTTTTCGACGTCAAGCATCGTCAATAACTTGTTGATTATTTTAATAATACAATATTAATTGAGGAGCTTTGCGTGTTGTGGAATTTTATAAAATAAATTTAAAATGAAGTCGAACAGAAAATACATTTATGATTGGTCACATTTGAAAAGTGGATTTTTTCCGCCGCAAATAATAAAACAAATGAATAAGCGAGAAATTTTCCGTAATAAACAAATAATTATTTTTTCTTATTTTCATTATGTAAATTTTCACCGTCCACCATTTCCAACACGAAGTTTTCATTAAAAAGAACGTCTATAAAAAAAGTTAAAAGTTGGAAAAGTTGACCAAGGTTAATAGTACGATATAAAAATACTAATTTAAAACGGTCACTGTGGGACCGAAAAATCAAACAGACCCCTGGTACAATGAGGAAAAGTTTGTCAATTGAGCCAATTGGTTTCCTTTCATGATCCCCCTGTTTAATCTTCTAGACGTACGTTCATTTAATTCGCATTTAAGCCCCACCCTATTTTTATTTTATTTTTTGTATATAGGATGCGGGTGGCTACTCGGTTTTCCCACTGATCTCTCTACAAGGTCAGACAATTTGCAAACTACAAATTCCAATATAAATTTTGCATTTATTGTAATCAATTTGCCTGTTTATTTCTTTAATAGCCTTAAACGTTTCTGATCGCTAGTAGCTTTTTTCAGGTATACCTAGTTTTCCAGCCTCGAACGCGAAGAAGAAAACTTTTTGTTAACAATCTGTTCAAGAATAAAAAATTTAGCAAAATTAAATAGCACTGATTTCTTTATAAAATCTATAAAACGTTTACTCAACATGAATGAAAGAACGAAGAAAGAACTTCAATTAAAGAAAATACAACATAATAATATATAATATAAGAATGTAGGGGGCGTCGGTGGCTGCAACGGTTTAGGCGTTGACACGGCGCTCATCACTGTAAGGTAAAGGTCCCGGGTTCGAATCCAGCGGCTCTGCGTTCGAACCCGACATACTTACAAATGTTTTTTTTTTTCAAAAACACGGCACCCTGAGGGTTGATATAACCTCTGCTGTTGCGAACCCTCGTAAAAAAATTTTTTTTTCTCTTTATATATATATGTGTGTGTGTGTATATATATATAAGAATGTAATTCAGCATTGATTGTAAAACTGTTTACTGGAAGTGGTTACTGTGGTATTCATTTGAAAACCATGATTTATACATACAAAAAATCAAAATCAAACAAAAATAAACGCAAGAGAAAATAAAATTTGGATGTCTGCGATAGACCGAATACTCTTAGGGCTCCTCAGTATAAAACTAAAATGAAAATAAATTAATAATTGTTCCACGAGCTCTCTGCGGTATCCAAGTGCACTCTTAGTGAAACCGACCACGTCTGTACAGTTTAGGGAGTTAGTACACAGAAAGGGAATAAGGAGTAAGGATGTAACAGTCTGCCAGAAAATGAAAAATGTCTTCCCTTGCAGGAGTTGCACAGTGAACAGCGATCAGAAACATCTCTTAATGAGGATAAATCATTAGATTTTTATAGTTTAAATGGAAAAAAGCTTTTGAATAGTCAAATTGCTTGTATCGCAGAAATCTAGTCAGAAATCTAGCCAACCTTTGGCATGTCTGGAACCAATGAAAGTTTCAAAAACCGAGAATATTGAAAAACCGTCTTGGCCTTCTTGTACTGTTCCTAAGCCGTCGCCGGCTATTTACAGTTTCTTTGGCTCTTGTTTTTATCTTCCTTTTTTATTATAGACGGAAGCTGTAAGAACTTAGGGGTCAGAAAGAAAGAGCAACAGATTAAAAAAAAATTATAATAATAATAAAATAATAAAGAAAGAAAGAAAATATGGAAATATATAAAGAATATTGAAAAATATAAAAAT